GAACCTGCTCATCCCAAATGCAGCTGTTTACATCACTGCTGTTTTTATGTTCTGCATCAGATCTCGGCACGCGAATATCTCACTTCTTCAGGGACAGTAATCATCCACTTACAGATAGATCTCAAAGAACTATATGCTGGAATTCTTGACTGGCTGCCACCAAAGTGTCTCCTAATGGAAGGGAGCTGGCAGTTCCCAGCTTCATTCAGTCATGTCCTGTAACATTCATGAAGTTTCCAGGAATCAAAAGGAGCTCTTCCTTAGGAAGAGAGTGAACCTGACCCCTACTAGACTAAGAATGTGTTCCATCAGAGCGAGTGCCTGTCTGCCTTTCACATGTGTCGAGTGTTTAGTCAGTATCATCACAAGGCTGTCGTTCGTTCATTTAGTTGAAGCGTTCAGAAAACAAGTCCTTTTTAGAGATCCTTTCCCTGACCAAGTCCTTCTTTCCCAAGATCTACCCTCATATTTTCATGTTGACATTTATAAATCTTATACTTAATTAATTATTGACAATCACTTAAGTTTTGATCCTTTCCCTTTCTCCCAAACTTCTGTTTTCCTTACATTTTCAAGTATAGCTGAATATCTCACTTATGCATTCATCTTTTAAAAAGCAGTTATTTATACACCCATTGTTTTTGCTCATTTTCCTCCAAGAGCTCTCAGAAACTATTTTATTGTAATTTAAAAATGTAATATATCTTCATGACATGATAGAACAGGATAGTCATTCTTCTGAGATAATGTCTTGAGGTGCCAACGCCTTCTGTGAGCAGACCCTTTGCACTGGGGAATTTTACAAAGTGATTCCTTTCAGTTTAAATACAAGGGTAAACTGCAGCTAAGTGGAGTATTTCTGGGACTCCTTTACACTTGTGTTTCATTTGTATTTCTGAGTTGTAAATGGCTTCTTTTTAAAAAAATTTTTTCAATCACAGTTGACATTTAATATATTAGTTCATGTGTACAGCATAGTGGTTAGACATTTATATAACTTATAAAGATTCCCCCTAATAAGTCTAGTACCCACCTAACACCATACATAGTTATTACAATATTATTGACTATATTCCCTGTGCTGTACTTTACTATTTTGTAACTACCAATTTGTATTTCTTAATCCCTTTCCTTTTTACCTAGCCCTTCAACCCCCCCGCCATCTGGAAACCATCAGTTTGTTCTCTGTATCTATGAGTTTGTTTTGTTTGTCTGTTTTGTTTTTTAGATTCCACATATAAGTGAAATCATATGGTATTTGTCCTTCTCTGTCTGACTTATTTCACTTAGCATAATACCCTCTAGGTCCACCCATGTTGGCACAAATGGTAAGAGTTCATTTTTATGGCTGAGTAATATTCCATTGTATATATGTACCACATGTTCTTCATCCATTCATCTATTGATGGGCACTTAGGTTGTCTCCATATCTTGATTATTGTAAATAATGCTGCTGTAAACATAGGATTGCATATATCTTTTTGAATTAGTGTTTTGGATTTCTTCGGATAAATACCTAAAAATGGAATTGCTGGGTCATAGGGTAGTTCTATTTTTTTTTTTTTTAAGATTTTATTGGGGAATTGGGAGAGGGGAACAGTGTTGGGAAATCGGAGAAGGGGAACAGACAAGTTGCTGTTGTTTTGTTCTTCAGTCTAGTTGTGGAGGACATTGCTTCACTGGCCCATGTTGGTATTATCATTGT